TGTATTTAAATCAGATATTTAGCCATTATAACAATTTAAGCGACCGTGCTAGAACCACGGGATTCGAGGGTGCCTAACACCTTCCCTCGGGTCAACAGAATTCCTTACTTAGAATTTATGGTTCGCAGACTTCATTCGGAAAGTCGAAAATTTCCTCGATTTGGGATTCAAGATAAAACCGGTGACTTGGGACACCAAAAACCAATCTTTTCCCAAGTGGCGACTCTGAATTAAATAAATAATCTCATTTCGAATATTGTCACTTAAATTGGAAAGACTCCCTCGTGCAGTTTACCTTTCGGGGCGGGCGTGCAAAAAGGAGGTGTGACAAGTGTAAGAGAGAGCCAACAGAACAAATGTGTACTCACAAGACATACCAAAGAAGCTAAAGATAATTACAAAAATAAAAAAGAAAAAAAGAAGAAGCTGAAGATAAGCATCAACGTGGCAACAACAATCACCTGTAGAACACGAAATTACTGGAAAAATATCCTAAAATCTTTAATCAAGTTTCAAGAAGCTGCTGTATTACTGGAAAAGGATAAGGGCCATATCTGCATAATATTATTGCTCATCCCTACGTGGCATATGACAAGACAAGGAACACACCTCTGATCACCACGTGGCAATGAAATATAATACACTTCCTTTTGCATATAATAAGACAGATGGTTGGAGAAGAATACATATAAGACAGATGGTTCGAGAAGAATACATATACTATATATGAGTAAATATAAATAATTATAAGGAGGAGATATTGTTGAGGTGATATTGAGTAAATAATAAAAATGGAAGAAGGTGGAAGAAGTAATGTTACAGAGGAAAAAAAGAAGAAAGTGATGGTAGCAATAGACGAAAGTGAGTGCAGTTTCTATGCATTAGAATGGACACTTAACAATCTTTACAATTCTTTACTGAATTCAGAGATTGTGTTATTCACTGGCCAGCCTATTGCTGATTATAGCTATATCTATGCTTCATCTTTTGGTGTTACCTGTAAGTAATTTATTAATTAAATTTTCTTTTTTTTTTCTTTATTAAGATGATTAATTTTATGTTCTTTTCCTCTTTTTCGTTTGATTTTGATTTTGCATATGGTTGCTTGCAGCACCAGAACTAATAACAAGTATACAAGAAAATCAAAGGAAAGTAACTAATGCTCTGCTGAAGAAAGCTAAGGATGTTTGTGGTCAACATGGGGTATTGTCTTGTAGTTTTACTTGCATTGTTCAGACTATAGTAAAAGTAGAATATTTAACTGATACACACTAATGATGTAACTTTTAAATTTTGATCAACTTATTGCAGCATGTTTTACCTTACTAATCCCAATTTTTTCTAGATAGTTATGTGCACCGTCAAACCTCTCTATAGCATCTTATTTGTTCCGGACATTTTTTGGCTTGTCCCGAATATTTTTTGGTTGTTATACCGTAGTCTTCTTATAAAGATTATATATATATTATAACGTAATATTGACTCCAAAAAACGTTTGAAGGGGAATCTTGGAGCAATGGTAAAGTTGTCTCCATGTGACCGATAGATAACGGGTTTGAGTCGTGGAAGCAGTCATTAATGCCTGCATTAGGATAAGTTGTCTACATGATAACCTTGGAGTGTTAGGCTTTTCCTCGAACCCTGCATTCCTGCGTGAAATAAAGGATGTTTTATTATCGGATTGCGGACAGACATGCTCAGGAAAACATCCTATACTTGGTATAAGTGAGCACAAGAGTTTGTAATGAATGCTTTTATTAGTACTTGAAATAAGCTTTATTCCTCCTAGCCATTTTACCACTTCCCACTTCTTATTTTGGGTATGCCACTCCGCGAGCAAGGAGTGCCACGCACGAGCGGAGCAAAAAGAAAGCAAGGGAATTCTTCTCTTTTTTTGGGAGAAATCCTTTGATTGCGTATTGAATCTTTATGTATCGGACCGCCTGCCGATGCTTTATGTATCGGACTGCGGACTCCCCTTTATTGTTGTAAAGTTTTACTGTAGTTATTATTTTAAGTAGCCTTGAAGTTAAACTTCAGAATAAGAACTGGTATACTACAACATGACCACTAGAGGAAAATAGGGAGAAAGGGGAAAAGACTAGAGTGGTGAGGGGCGGAGCTAGGATTTGAAGTTTATGGGTTCTGAACTTGGCATCGAACCCATAGCATATTTTAGTTACTGGGTTGAGCATCTAAATCTGGGTCTGGATCAATACCAGCAAAAATATCTCTAAACAAGGTTCTAGTACCATGCCACATGTGTCCGAAGAAGAAGAGCAAAGCAAACGAAGCATGCCCAAAAGTAAACCAACCCCTTGGACTGCTGCGAAAAACACTATTAGCGGGGTACTTTTCTTTGATTTTTTCTGGTTCATACTGCTTAATTCCCCTTTTCTCTACTTTCTCTTTTGTGCAGATCTCTCTCTATCCTTTGTAGAGCCCCATCTTTGCTTTCTCTTAAAATCTTATTGTCGTGGAAGACCCTTTTTATATGTGCTGCCTTGACGAAGGGATCAAAGGTTGCGCTTGCGATAATCCGAAGGTTGTGCAAGACCCCTTCAACCTTGTCAGCGTGTTAGCTTGCTTGTACTATCGCTCGCCTATCTGACCTGCTTTCTGGCTAGCTTCTTTATGCCAAGCGCTACCCTAACCCTGCTAGTGCTACATCTTGCTAACATCGTCTGAATAGCCTTGCAAGCGCTACATCTATATGGCAAGCCCACGTTGCCTTCGTCTCCCATTGGAGTCGCCTTCTTCATATGGCAAGCGCTATCCGTCGCTTGCATTATATTGTCTGACGATAACCTTGCCTTAACACAAATTTAATAGATTTTCTAATACGAATACAAGCTTTACCCAAAAGCTATCAGGTTAGGTCGAACCTGTAAAATACCCTACATCCGTCCTGATAGTGGTGCTTGTTATTCAAGTATATACGCAAGCTTAAGTAATGCAAAATTGATATGTGCAGATAGTTGCAGAGACAATGACACAAGTGGGAGATCCAAAGGAAACTATATGTGAAGCAGCTGAGAAGGTTCATGTAAATTTGCTTGTCTTAGGTAGCCATAACAAGGGTGCTATACAAAGGTCAGTTTTGAATTTGCTGCATTTCAGACTCTGTACATGTTAAAAATGTATAAGATTTGGCTTTATTGAGTCTTGACAAAATATTTATTTTATTTTGTAAATAGAGAAATAATGTTGTTTTTCTTCTTAAACATATGTAAAACAGGGCATTTTTGGGAAGTGTTAGCAACTACTGTGTTCACAATGCCAAGTGTCCGGTTCTTGTTGTGAGGAGGACGTCATGAAAGGAGCAGGGGCGGAGCTAGAAGGAAATAACTATTAGATATGTCCGAAATCCCATATTTGTGCTATGAAATTCATGAAATATGTATAAATTTTAAATTTAGAGACTAGTTTTTAGCTCTTTCAGTCGTTATTTCAGAAGTTAGAATTCATAAACTTTAAATTTAAGTCGTTATTTCAGAACTTAGAATTCATAGAGTTTAAATTTGTCGCCTTATGAAGGTTGTGTAATGTCTTTATATGTTTGCTCTTGTGAAGGACCATTTGTTATTGTGTGATCCTGTATTAAATAAATCATTATATATAGTATGAAAAAGATTTGTCTCAATTAGCAAAATCAATCTAATTAATATTTGAACTGTCCCATCAGAAGGCATATAAAAATAGATTCGAGACCATAGAATTTTTCAATTACGTTCTGATGGATAGATTCAAATAACTGCTCTTATTATTATTCACTTCTATTATTAATGTTTTAAAAGAATGCTTAAAAAGCTAATATGAACAATTATTTCATTTTAGATGGAACATATAGGACATAAGGAGTAAGTTTTGGTGGTGTTTGCAATAATTTTGGGCAGGAAAATAAAATTGCAATTACAACAACTAGAAAGAAAAAAAATGGATTTTATTGATAAACATTGTAGGTTGTAATTCTATTTATCCCTTGATTTTTTCCTCCTGATCTATTATACGTGATTCGAGGGATTTAGCGACGTATTTCTCGAACGTAGAATGATATACATTTTCATGGGATGTATTTGATGTCTATGAAATTATGTCTATCTGGCCGCATCTTGATCTCTTTATGAATATCCCATGAGTTTATGGGATTTTTGAGATGATCTCCATTTTTGAGATATTTTTTAAAGGATTATATAACCCTTTTTATAAGAGTGACCTAAGGTTTTGGTAGAGTAGCCTCCAAGCAACACTGACAGACTCCTAGAATTTCAAGAGGTCTTGTAGTATTTTGAATTTAGGATTTAACTCGATCCATTAAGATTTCGATGTCTACACCTTTTAAGGGTCCCCATCGTTGAAGGATATGTGATAACATGGTAAAACATCTTCCAATTTCTCAGCATCCTCCATTAGAGATAAAACACCATGGTCGCCTTATGCAGTAACATGATACGAAGAACCCACACTTTCTTCGTCTTCATCACGTTCTTTAGTGTAGACCACAGTGTATGGCTTCACCTTCAGTACTTCATCACACGAAACCATGACTTTTGTTTGTCGCTTTATTCTAGAAGGAACCAAACTTTGAAAATCTTTAGAGATCTTGTGAATTTTGGGTGAAACGGGTGTTCTTGTATTTCGATAATTTCTCTGGAACTTATTCCCCTTCTTTAATGGACCCAATCTCTCAAATACGGAAGTTCTCACAGTTGATTTTCCAAGTCAATCAAAGACAGAAGGCCTATTAGAAGCAGCATATTCGCCTTCTACACTGATATAATTGCTACTCGTCCTTCTTATTGAGATGCGCACTGGTGATTGTTACTTGTATCCCAGACCTTCACGTGGTTGCCTCATTGTAGCTTCTGATGGGAGATTTCCTAACTTTGACGGCTCATTGGGATTGTATCCAGCTTTTGCAAATAGCTTGTAAGCGTTAGGATCAAAACCTTTATCTGTTCGCTTTGTAGGGAGTGCCATATTCTGCAAACGATTTTGGGCTACAAACCCTGCAAGCGGCCCCGAGGACAACTTTACTGCCTCAATTCGTTTAACTGGAAGAGTTAACTCCCTTAGCGTCTTGGTTTTGAGAATATATGATTCGCCCTCATCTTTCTTCCTTTTAGGGACATATTGGAGCGCGAGACTTACTTTTTTTTTCATAAGACGCAATACCCCCTTTATAAGATTTATTCACGTTGGCGGGTACCTCATCAGTAACAGTTTTGGCTTTACCAATAATCACCTCAGCTCTTTTAGTTATGGGTTCGTCATTCTTGCTTTCCATGCCATCATCAACTTTTATCTCCTTCACAATATGGTTCTTCAAGTAGAACTTTGCATCGGCGAAGTGTGACTCAGCCTCGGTAAATGGCTCATCATCAACAACTATCTTCTTCTCGACTTCACCCTCATAGTATTTCAAACACTGATGGTAGGTAGATAGAACCACTTTGTTATCATGTATCCAAGGCCTTCCAAGCAAGACGTTGTATGAAGTCTTTGCATCGGTCACATGTAGACATGAACTTGATTGCATATCTTCAATGGTGATTTTCAGTCTGATCGCGCCTATGGCTCTTTGCCCCCCTTAGTTGAATCCTTGGATCATCACACGACTTTCTGAGAGTTCGTTCATGGGAATACCAAATTCTTTCACAGTGCAAATTGGTAAAATGTTCACTGAGGATCCTCCATCAACCAAAATTCGATTTACCTTTTTATCACGCATATAGCCAATCAGATACAATGGGTGGTTATGAAGAGTATTACCTAGAAGAAGGTCGTCATTTGTGAACGTGAATTTTTCCTCACAAGCATCAACTTCTTGAGGAGTGGAGTCGATGAGCTTTTCCAAAGATGGTGCCAACGGTAGGACATTACTCTTTTCTTCCCCTTTACCAGCATTGCAACAAGAGGCCTCAATACCCTCATGGGAAATCTTCGTGCGGAACCAACTTGGTAAGAATTCCTCCAAGGTCACTGGATGTCGTTACTTTTGAGGATGGTGCACCTCCATTTTTGCTTTCTTCAAATATTTAACTGGATTCCATCTCCTTGGTCTTTTCACCATCATCTTCCTTGTTGGTTGTTCTACTGATTCTTTTCGTGGGCTCCTTTTGTGGTGCCTACGACGAGTCACCAACGTCCAACCTTCATCATCATCAGGTTGATCATCTTCAACTTTGTTGTTCACCAGTAATTCTTCATTTTTGATTCCTTTTAAACTACATAATTCATCTAGACTAAATGAGCCAAAGGTGATAGAGACTTGGTTCGCGCTTGCTTTCTCATCTTCAAGCACGATCTTCTTTTCACAGGCCAAGTCCATAACTTTGTCCGTAAACACAAAGCACTTCTCCAGAGGGTGGCTTATATGTTGGTGATATTTGCAGTAATTTGGTTCATTCGTTTTCCCAGCTTCATTTGGTCGTTTCATCTCCGGAAGCTCAATGAGATTTAAATCGAGGAGTTCTTCGAAAATGGTTGGCACATCAGAATCCAGGAATGGGTACTCTTTCTCTTGCATTTCTTTTAGAGTCAACTTTCCATTTAGCTTATCTTGAAAAGAAGTGGATTTCATACTTTGCTTCTTGCTCACCTTCGTCGTGAACTTCATAGGTGATGTGTTGACATTCATAGCTTCTTTGCTTTCAAACTTGCGTACGAACTTGCCCCACTTCCTGACTTCTTGCTTGTCATTCCCTTTGCGAGGTTCATAGATGGGTAGCCTTTCATTTCCAGCGGAGGCCATGCTCAATTCCATGTTATGGGCACGACTTGCAAGTTCTTCAAATGTGCCAGGCTTGATACCTTGCAAGATATAGCGCAATCCCCCTTGGATGCACATCTCTATGCTTGAAGCTTCACTAAGCCTGTCTTTATTGGTGAGGCTTGCATTCCTCCAACAATTTATAAAGTCGATAACTGGTTCCCACTTTCGTTGACGAGTATTTGTAAGTTCTATCATACTCACAGTATGTCTCGTACTATAAAAGCGATTGAGTAACTCTTGCTCTAGTTGATCCCAGCAATCGATAGATCCAGCTTTGAGGTCTGTGTACCAATCAAAAGCATTTCCTTTTAGCGAGCGGACAAACTGCTTGATAAGGTAATATCCATAAGTCCCAGCATTGTTGCACGTCTCCACGAAGTGCGCCACATGTTGCTTTGGGTTACTTTTACCATCAAACTGTTGAAACTTTGGAGGTTGATTGCCAGCAGGCATCTTCAACATATCGACCCTTGCAGTGTACGACTTTGCATATGTAAGGGAGGATTTGGAAGCAACTTCATATTTTTTCTTAATGGTTCCTTCAATGAACTCCTTCAGTTGATCGATTGGAATCATCCCTTTAGATGAGACAGGGATAGCCTTAGTGGATGCTACTTGTCTTGGGGGAGAGTCACTCTCTAGAACTTCTGGGAGCTTTCCAGATGCATGGGTGGATTCTTCTTCCATCAAGATTCCCTCCCTGTCTATTAGCTTGTCAATTCTAGCCTCTTGATTTTGCATGCATTTGGTCAAGCCAGCGATTGCTTCCGTCAAGTTTGCCAACTGCTCCTCCATAGATGAAGTGTTTGTCACCATGGCTTGCATGATTGTCGTGGACGACGGAGAGTAGCATGGATTTTCACACATATTGATCCTTGATTGCTCACACTATGTGGTTTAAGTGGGGAGGATCTATCACTTGAAGCATCATCATCTTCCTTCACAACAGAGTGCTTGGATCGGGAGAGGTCGAGCAGAGCAAGAGTTTTCTTGATCTTTTCAGCAACATCGCTTCCTCCTTCAGATGCGTTTGTGGAAGATCTTGCTCCTTTTGAGGATGAAAATCTGAAAACAGGGGTTGACGCGGACGGCACTTGGGGTGCTTGTTGTTCTAAAGAGCTTGCTTTGCTCCTCGTAACTGGTCCGAAGCTTCCGAAGGTAACATCCATATTTGACATGTCTTTGATCTCTTAGTGAATATTTCAAGAGTTTCATGGAATTTTTAAGATCTCATATTTGATCTCTTTGCGCATATTCCGAGAGTTTATGGAATTGCTGAGATCATCTTTGAAAGACATATGTAGCCTTATTTATAGGCATAAATTAGGGTTTGGGTGGATTAGCCACCAAGAAACCCTAATAGACTCCTAAGATTTCAAGAGTCTTGTAGTATCTTTAATTTAGAATTTGGCTTGATCCGTTAAAATTTCAATGTCTACAAATGCTCCCTACTTCAAGGTTTGTCGGGGTGTAGGCTTGCCGAAATTTTAAGACGAGACTTGAAGTATTTTACAATCAAAACAAATGGTTTTGAAACTTGGAGTTTTCGATTTACAGGAGTAAGAGATGAACGGCAGAACTGGTCCCACTGGGCGTGCCAATTTGTTTGCAATAACTTTGGGCAGAAAAATAAAACTGCAATCAGAAACAACTAAAAAGAAAAAAGGATTTTATTGATAAATATTGCATGTTGCAACTCTATTTATCCCTTGATTCTTCTCTCCTGATTATTTCCGTGATTCGAGGGCTAGAACAGCGTGTTTCTCGAACGTAGGAGGATGCAAACCTTCATGGGATGTATTTGATCTCCATGAA